TTTTATTTAATATCAATTTTAATAATTAATGATTAAATTTTACATCATAATTGCATTTGTGACGAATATTTTTTTGTGACGAATAAAATTGTTATAAATAACTTGTTAACAATATCAATTTTCTCTATTACTATAAAATTATTTTCTGTAACAGGTACCTAATTTGTCACTAAGAGCATTAGTGACAAGGGTTTTATTAACGGTTTAAATTTTATCACTAATAAAAATTTATGATGAAAAATAAAGATTTAATTATCAATAATTTAGTCACTAAATGTGGATTTTCTTGTAGTGATACTTTATAATACATTTATTAAAAAATTATTATTAATTAGTCTAAAATTCAATGTGAAAACATTTAAACCTACAGTCATATATACAAGATGAAGAATTGATTGAACTGATTATACCTATATTATAGTTTAATTATTGAATCGAATGGATGTTAACAAGCATATTAAACCAGAGATTGTCAATCAATTTTCATATATATATATATATATGAGAATGTGAAGAAAATATACAAGAATTCATTGCAAGAAAATGGACATCCTGTGACGGAGAATTGGTTACAAAAATTCATATTTTTAATCACAAATTAAATTGGCATTTAAAATTTAAATTTTTATAACTAATTCTACGGCAACAAAATGTCTATTTTCTTATAGTGATTGCTGATATAATATCTATATATATATACAAGAATTAAAAAGAAAATACCTTTTGGCATCGAACTACTGTTGTTTGATCAATTCGCGAGTTTTGAAGAAGGTTGAGAATGCAAGTTGACGAAAAGAAAGGATGTGCTTAGCGAAAGGCTTCACAGGCTGCACGCTTCAGTATCTTCCTATCTTCTTAAAGATTTTCATTACATGTAAAATAGAAATGAAAACGTAGTAACAAATTAGTTAGAAGGTAGAAGATTGATCTAATCCATTGAAGGAGAGGGAGAGTATTTAATCCAAAGAAATTAGATAAAAAGATAATATTTATTTTTAATTAACATAAATAAATCTCAACCATTGAAAGTAAAGCGATGAATAACTAAGATTTTATATAATTGTAATGTGTAAAATTTATATGTAAGTGGATCTCTACTCACATATATATATATATATATATATATGAGGTGGGATCCTTTTACATACAAAACTTTCTTATAAGTTTTATACAAAATATTAACCATTCATTTTATATTGTGAATTATTGAGATTTATAACAACTTTTTAAGTAAAAGAATAATTAACTTTAACAAAAAGGATAAAAAGTAAATAAATTTTAACCATTTAGAATCAAAAATAAATAATCAAAATTTCATGTAAGTGATATGTGTAAGAGTTATATGTAAGTGGATTCTTAACTATTTATCTTTTCACTTTATTAAGATGTAATACTCTTTATCATTTAAAAAATTATAATAAATCTTAATTATTGAAAGTGAAAAGATTAATAGTTAAAATTTTGTGTAAGTATAGTATATAAGACTTATGTATAAGTGAACCCTTTTTATATATAACATAAATTTTATATACTATATGTACATAAAATCTTAATTATTTATCTCTCCACTTTCAATAATTGAGATTTGTTATGATTTTTTAAATAAAAATATAATTATTTTTAATAAATGTGAACTGTGGTACCTATGATTTTGATGATTACAAAACACATTTAAGTGACTAATTGGTTCATTTAAGTGTGTAGTTAAAATGTCAAAAGATTGCAAAATAAGTAACCTTGGACTGCACTTAAAAATGGATCAGAAAAGCTTGAATATGTGCAGAGAGCCGGCTCTTAAACGCTGCACCCGGCTCTGGTGAAACAGAAGTGCAGAGAGCTGGCTTTGGAAGCTGCAGCCGACTCTACGGGTAAAGATTTAAAGGTCCATTGTTTGGCACGCGCAGAGAAAAGACGCAGAGCCAGCTTTAACTTTGCAGCTGGTTGTAAGGGTGCATTTAATGCACAACAGTCGACTTATTTGAAGAATAATTAATATTTTTAAAGTCAGAATACCAAAGCTAGCTCTATGTTTTTGCAGCCGGCTGTGGAAGAAAACAAAATGTGTAGGAAACTCGCAAAGCCGGCTGCAGAATTTTTAAGCTGGCTCTACTGAAAAAATAGAGTGCAGGAAACCTGAAGAGCCGACTGCAGGTTAAGCCGACTGTCCTGACAATCCTGCAACTCGAGCTTTGCATCCTACAGAGCATTTAATGCCCCCCAATGACTAGAAACGACTATTTTCAAGTAAGGGGCTATAAATATGGTTGGTAGAAGATCTGAAGGTAGTTTAGAGAGTATTGTATTAAATATCTTTACCTATCTACATGAGCTTTAATTTGAGTTTTTGATTTTTGAGAGATCTTTACTTGTAATCCTCTTCTTGTTCTATTTGTGAGTGATCTTGGGGGTGTGATTAATCCTTCAAGAGTGATTTGTAAAAAGGATTCTTGGGGTTTAAGTGTAAAGGGATGAGATTTGAGAGAAACACATTTCTTCTTGTAAAAGGATTGAGTGGCTCCTTTAAGCCACCCTTGTTGTTGTTAGTGAAGAGTGTGGAGGAAATCCTTGGTGAGTGAAGTCAAGGTAGAGGACTAAACTCCAAGTGGTTGGACCGAACCTCTATAAAATCATTGAGCAAGCTCTTCTTTTCTACTCTTTATTTTTGGTTTTGCGGTTGCATAAAGGGGAGAATTTTTGGAACTCCAATTCACCCCCCCTCTTGGAGTACATTGAGTCAACAATTGGTATCAGAGCAAGGGCTCTAATTTGAAGGTTTAACCACCTAAGAGTCGATCAGAAATGGCTTAATTTCAAGCTTCTCAACCACTTGAAGGTTTGTCTACCACCAGACCTCCTTTCTTTGATGGGACTAATTATAATTATTGGAAGAATAAGATGAAGGTTTTCATGCTTGCAAATGTGCCCAAGGTATGGATTGTGACTATAAAAGGTCCATATGTACCTATGAAAGTTGTTGGAGAAAGAGAGATGCCAAAGGAAGAAGTTGAATGGAATGATGAAGACTTGGGGAAGATCATGATCAACAACAAAGCAATCAACATGCTTCAATGTGCTCTTAATCCAATGGAATTCCATAGAGTATCCGGATGTGATACGGCCAAGGAGATGTGGGACATGTTGGAGGTAACACATGAAGGAACAAGTCAAGTGAAGAAGTCAAAAATCAATAGACTCATTTACATATATGAGCTTTTCAAGATGAAACCGGAGGAGAGCATTCAAGATATGTATACAATATTGAATGATATAGTCATCAATCTCAAGGCTCTTGGTAAAGTTTATCCTTTTCAAGAAGTGGTGAGGAAGGTTCTTAGAAGCTTGCCTAAGAATTGGGAAGCCAAGAAGACCACAATTGAAGAGTCTAAGGATCTCAACACCCTCAAGCTTGAAGATCTCATTGGAAAATTGATGACATATGAGATAGAAGTTCAAGTTGATGGTGGAGTTGAAGTAGTTGAGAAAAAGAAGAAGGATGTTGCATTCAAGGCTAGCAACCAAAAGGAAAGGAGTGAAGATTATGCTAGTGATGGTGAAAACATCTCCACCTTGATCTTTAGAGAAGTGAGGAGATTCATGAAGAAGAACATCAAGAGCAAGCTTGCAAAAAGAGATGAAGGAGAGTCTACCAAAAGGAGTGTGAAATGCTATAAGTGCAACAAGATGGGGCACTATAGAAATGAATGTCCCAAATTGAAGAAAGGTGAGAAGAAAGGCAAGAAGAGCATGAAGAAGAAAGCTTTTGCTGCCACTTGGAGTGATGATGAGACTAGCCCAATAGAAAGTGAAAGCTCCTTGGAGAAAGGTGTTGCAAATCTTTGCTTCATGGCTCCAGAGGATAGCAACCATGATGAGGAGGCAAACTCTAACTTCTCTAGTTCAATTAATAAAAGTTCATTTGAGTATTCTTATAATGATTTATACAAAGTTCTTGATTGCTTTATGACATTAAGAAACTAAGAAATGAGAATATTGCTCTTACTAAAACCATTCCATTGCTTAAAAATGAAATTGAATCTCTTTCAAAACAAAATGAGGTTTTAGTTAAAGAGAATGCCTCTTTAAATGGTGAGATTGCTTCTTTAAAAAATGAGGAGTCTAATAATGCTTTGAAAAAGGAAAATGAGGATTTAAAGAAGGAAAATGAAGATTTAAAGAAGGAAAATGAGGTTTTAAAGAGAAAAGCTTGTGATCTTAAGAATGTGATGTCCAAATTTACCTTGAGTAAAGAAAAACTTGATTCTATCTTAAAATCTCAAAGAAGTATTTATGACAAAGGGGGCATTGGATTTGATTATTCTAAAAAGCAAAAGACTTTTAAGAATTCTTTTATGAGAGCAAGTCACCTCTCATCCTAATGTTACTTGCTATTGTTGTGGTGCAAAGGGACACTTTGCTTATGTATGTCCTTTGAAGAGATTGATAGCCCAAGGTAAAGTGAAGCAAATTTGGGTTCCAAAAGGAACTTTAAGCACTAACCCCCATGGACCCAAGCAAATTTGGGTACCAAAAATCAACACTTAATTTTGTTTTGTAGGTAAAGTTGATGGCAAAGTCATAAGAAAAGTAAAGTTGATCTTGATAAAGACTTATGCCTCAACAAAAATGTTGGAGTGAAAGTGCAAAGAAAATTTGTTTTTGAATGCTCCACTCGTGCTCAAATTGGTATTATTTATTTTATTGCATTTATTCATTGAGTATAATTACTTCAACATGACTTTTAATGATTTGTTTATGTGTGTTCACTCTTTGATATATATGCTTGTTGAATATAATATCATTTGATGTGATTATTAAAATTTATGCAAATTAATGAGCTTGGCATGTTAGATCCTAGTACTTGATATGGCTTTTGAAATTAATGTATTTGCTTATTAAAATTTATGCATATTGATGACTTTGATATGTGTACCTTGATTATAATCATGTTATTTGATGATGCACACATTGATATGTGACTAAAATTATATGATTTAATAGTTGATGTCCAATTTAAACTTAGTAAAATGAAGGAATATCAAATTAGGTGCATTTTTTTCAAAACAGTCCCAAACCTTTTATTTGTACCAATCAAGGCCAATACAGCCGGCTGCAAGTTTTTCACAGTTGGCTCAACCAAAAAAAAGAAAGTTTGAACTTCCCAATTTAAGCCGGCTCTAGGATCACAGCCGGCTCAACCCGTTGGCGAATCTAACCCGAACCCAGTCACAGCCAGCTCTACCGTCACAGCCAGCTCTCCTGGGCAGTTTTTAACTCTCGATTTTTCTCTCTCTTCGTGCCACATCAGTTCAATTCCTCATTCCAAAATCATGATTTTCCTCTCCCAAACACCCAAACTCTCCAGATCTGCAAAACCCATCCCTTAAAGACTCAAATACCCCCAAATCCTTGCAAATCCAACACAAATCCTCAATCTTTTCACTCCAATTTCATGTGGAATCTGTTGTTTTCTTTCTCATGGCTTCAAGAAGGGCTAGAAGTAAGAGAAAACAGGTTGGGAGTTCTAGTGCTGGAGAACAGGCTCAGGAGGAAGGTAACCTCTATGATACTTCTCTATTTTGGGATGATGATGCCTTCAATTAGTACAATTTTGTCAAAAATTTGGCTATGTTTCCATGCAACAATGTGAAGTTTAGTCAGTTTCCTCAAGGGAATATGCATGTAGAAGAGATTTTTAGGGAACTTGGATGGAGTAATTTTTTAGAAATTAAGGAGCATGTGTATAATGACGTGGTTCACCAATTCTATGCAAATTTGAAACAAAAAAAGGGGAAGTGCACAACTATGGTTAATAGGAACACAATTCAGTTTTCACAGAGTGATTTGTAATGTGTTAGATATACCAGAGGGTGGAGATGATGAATTTGAGAATGTCAACCATGAAGAAATTAGACTCACACTTGCACCGACGTGTGCTACAAATCATATTAGTGTGGGCTTTCTTTTCACTGGAAAACAAAGCATTGCAGTGGATTATTAGTCGTATTCTTGCTCAAAGAAAGGAGTCTAAGTCTGTTGTGCTTACTAGTGATCTTCCTTGGTTTGATTATCTTCTGAAGCGAAAAAGGTTAAACCTTGGTAAATTTATTTACCACAACATTATCAAGAATTACTCCTCGAATATGGGTCTTCCGCATGGTGCATTGATCACTAGGCTAGTAAAAAGGAACAACATTGATCTTGAATCTTTTAAGCATGGGAAAATTAAAGCTGGGACTACTCTCACTCAAGCATCCTTTGAGAAAATGCAAATTGTGTTCCGGAATGGTGATTGGAGGAAAAGAGGGGATCAAGCAATAGGACAGCAAAGTGATGAAGAAGAAGGTGATGCAGATCAAGAAATGGCAGAACAAGGGGAAGAAGAACATGGAAGTGACAGCCCAAGACCCTTTCAAACTTCCATGCAAAGGACTAACCGCGAAACCATGAAGCTTATGGTAAATGAGATGCGGCAGTTGCACACCGACTTCTATGGTTTTCGAACGAAAATGAAAGGGAGGATGGATACCATGGATGGAAAGCTTGATCAGCTTGTTAACCATTTTTTTCCTCCACCCCCACCTAGTGCCACCTAACTTGATGTTTCTTTAGTTTGGCTAACCTTTAGGATGGACATCTTAGGGTTATGCATTTTAAGTTTTTAGGCTTGTGACTATGTTTTCTTTGACCATGGATATTTCTTGAACCGTTTTATCATGTTTTGTGAATGGTAATGGCATCACTTGTGTTATCATGCTTTGTGAATGGTTGTTTATGATTTTGATGATTGTATGCTCTTATTGAGGAGGAGCATTTTGTGGTTAAATTGCTCTTCTTAATGGTTACCATGCTTAAATTGCTCTTCTTAATGGTTACCATGCTTAAATGCTTTAAAGATTGATGTGCATGAATTAAGGGGGAGTTTGTTGATTATGTGCTTTTTGATGAATGACAAAAAGGGGGAGAGAATATGCTAAATTTCTATCATTTTCTAGAGTATCTTTGTGCTGAGATTCTGGTTAATATTGAAGTATATATGTGCTTTCATTAATTCATTCTCAAAGTGTTTTGTCATCATCAAAAAGGGGGAGATTATTGTACCTATGATTTTGATGATTACAAAACACATTTGAGTAACTAATTGGTTCATTTAAGTGTGTAGTTAAAATGTCAAAAGATTGCAAAATAAGTAAACTTGGATTGCACTTAAAAATGGACCAGAAAGGCTTGAATATGTGCAGAGAGCCAGCTCTTAAAAGCTGCAGCCAGCTCTGGTGAAACGGAAGTGCAGAGAGCCGACTCTGGAACCTGCAGCCAGCTCTACGGGTAAAGATTTAAAGGTTCGTTGTTTGGCGCGCGCGGAGAAAAGACGCAGAGCCGGCTCTCACTTCGCAGCCAGTTGTAAGGGTGCATTTAATGCACAACAATCGACTTATTTGAAAAATAATTAATATTTTTAAAGTTGAAATACCAAAGCCGACTCTACGTTTTTGCAGCCGGGTATGAAAGAAAACAGAATGTGCAAAAAATCCGCAAAGTCGGCTGTAGAATTTTTAAGCTAGCTCTACGAAAAAAACAGAGTGCAGGAAACCCGAAGAGCCGACTGCAGAAATGGTAAGCTAGCTATGTAGAGCTGGCTCTAAGAAGTTAAGCTAGCTGTCCTGATAATCCTGCAACTCGAGCTTTGCGTCCTGCAAAGCATTTAATGACCCCCAACAGCTAGAAACGGCTATTTTCGAGTAAAGGGCTATAAATATAGTTAGTAAAAGATCTGAAAGTAGTTTAAAGAGAATTGTATTAAATATCTTTACCTACCTACATGAGCTTTAACTTGAGTTTTTTATCTTTGAGAGATCTTTACTTGTAATCATCTTCTTGTTCTATTTGTGAGTGATCTTGGGGGTGTGATTAATCTTTCAAGAGTGATTTGTAAAAAAAATTCTTGGGGTTTAAGTGTAAAAGGGTGAGATTTGAGAGAAACACCCTTCTTCTTGTAAAAGGATTGAGTGGCTCCTTTAAGCCACCTTTCTTGTTGTTAGTAAAAAGTGTGGAGGAAATCCTTGGTGAGTGAAGCCAAGGTAGAAGACTAGACTCCAAGTGATTAGACCGAACCTCTATAAAATCATTGAGCAAGCTCTTCTTCTCTACTCTTTTTATTTTTGGTTTTGTGGTTGCAAAAAAGGGAAAAAATTTTAAAACTCCAATTCACCCCCCTCTTGGAGTACATTGAGTTAACATGAACAAATTTCAACAATTGAAAGTGAAAAGATGAATTATTGAAATTTTGTGTAAATGTTATATGTAAAATTTATGTATAACTACATTCCTACTTTATATATATATATATATATACATACACATGTAACCCCAATAGAAAGGCTTAAAGGTTAAGAGCTTGAGACTCCAAATTAGAGATTTCAAGCTTAAGCCTTGAGTCGGGTGAAGAAGGACTTGAAAATAAGAGAGGGCTATCCCCTCTTATATAGTCAATGATCAGATGTACCAAATATATATATATATACACACATATGAATGTGAAGGAAATATATAGGGACTAAAAAAAATTTATACCTTATGGGCATGGAACTATTGTTTATTGATCAATTCGAGTGTTTTTGAAGAAGGTTGAGAATGCAAGTTGCAAACTATGGGATAGAAAAGCCAAAAATGATACAATCTGCAAAAGAGAAATGAAAATAATTCTACTTTAATTTATACTTTATAGTAACGTGATTAAAAATTTGCTAAATAAATATGAGAATTCAATTTAATCAGATTTTTAAGGGAATTTATTTATATGAATTCCATTTCATTTTCAAACAAAAAGATAAGGAATAAAGGAAACAAGGGTTAATTTAAGGAATGACTTGCATCCTTAGAAAAATTTTAGGCTAAAAATACCTAAAAAATCTTTGATCTTTAGAGGACAATGAGAAAAAAAATTGGAGAATTTGATTATCAAATCAAACATAAAGGAGATACTACCAACTAAATAAATGCGTCAAAGGTATAATAAATAGATTTATTTATATAATGAAATGCATCAAAGAATTTCATAAAATCAAACATAACCCATTTATGTGGTCCATTAAGAAATAAACATGCTTGCTATTACTGAGCTAACCTTGAAATAAATAGAAGTAGATACTAACAACTAAAAAAAGATATATTGTCATATGCAAATTCAAAAAATGAGATAAAAATCAATTGTTAAATAGTTAATTTAAAGAAAGATAACAATTATAGTTTTGTCTGAATGATTAAGAATGACTTTAATAAAGATATATCTAGCAAAAGGCTTTTTCACAAATTGCTCGGATAAGTACTTTCTAGTTACTTCAAAGATTTTCAAAGAAGATATAACAAAATAGAAAACCAGAAAAGAAAAGCACACTAAAACCAAATACTTCGGAGGAGACTGAGGAGAAAGAGTATAATTCAAAGAAAGGAATATACTATATACTAAGCTTTAATAATTTAGTGAAGAAGTTAGCAAAGCATATATTAAAATCAAGCTTTTGACAGAAGAAAAAAACTAGGTGAGAAAAAAAAAAAGAAAAAGAAAAAAAGAAAAACACAGCGATTGAAAAATATATACCAGCTAGTTTAGAACTTGGGCTTCCTCAATTATAAGGTTTGAGAGACAAAATGCAGATACCAAAATAGGTAGTGGATTTTACCAACATGATGCAATCTGCAGAAAATAATTCAAGTTTAGATGGTAAGTGGTACTAAATTGTTGTAGTACAGAAAATCAAAGGCTGAAAAGTATGTTGGGAAACGGAAAAGGGGGCCGAACCACTGGTGAGGCCATTTGAAGGTGAATCTCATCAGTTGCATAAGAAAATATGTGAGGCGGCAATGAAGATCAGGAAGGCAGTCAGAGAAAACAAGTGGAGATAGGTTTTTAAATTTGAATCTTCCAAGCGGAGAAGGAAAGCAGTGAAATTAAATTTTGTCCTTTTTATGTAAATTAATTATAAAAGAAAATTGCATTAAAAATATATAAAAGAAAATAAGTAGAAACCATAAGGGTGTCTGGGAAAGCTAAAAAAAGTAAATTTGTTTTAATTAAAATTTTTTCTCATAAAATTAAAAAATTTTAAATTAATTTTAAAAATAAATTTTTAATAAGTTTTGAAAATTAAAATTAAATATCTAAGTTTTCTTAAAATTAAGTAAAATTAAACAAGTATATATATACTTTTAGAATGTAGCTAACTGTAGAGGGTTGAGAATGCAACTTCTGGGATTAAGTGGTATAAGCTTTTTTACTGCCTTTATATTTTCTTCACATTCATTTGTATATATATACATATATATATATATATATGAGATCTACTTAAACATAAATTTTACACTACAATTAGCTACATTCTAAAAGTATATATACTTAAACATAAATCTTATACCTTCTGGGAATGTAGCTATCGTTTCTCGATCAATCGAGTGTTTCTGAAAAGGGTTGAGAATGCAACTCGTAGAATATGAAATAGAAAAACCAAAAATGATACAATCTGCAGAAGAAAAATGAAATTAATTCCGCTTTAATTTATACTCTATAGCAAAGAGACAAAATTTGTTAACTATGAGAATTCAATTTAATTAAATTCTTAAGCGAATTTATTTATATGAATTTCATTTCATTTTCAATCTAAGGGCCTGTTTGGTGGAGCTCCTAGGAGCTTCAGCTTTTGGATATTATTCATGTCTCATGAATTTAAATTTTTTTCTTAAAAACTTACACTTTTAAATATTTTTTTAACCTCAACAAGTTCTTAAACAGTAAAAGTTTAAATGTTTCAAATCCAAACTTTTCATAAACTCCCTTTTTACTTATTTTTCATTCAATTTTTCACATTTCTAAAAGTTAAAACTCTATTTTCCCTCCAATAAAAATTTAAATTTATCACTCATAACAGTACTCAAAAAGTAAAAGCTCTCACAAGTCAGACCAAACAGACTCTAAGAGATAATAAGCAATAAAGGAAACAAGGGTTGGCTTAAGAAATTACTTGCATCTTAGAGAAATTTTAGGCTAAAAATACCTAAAAATTCTTAGATCTGTAAGGAACAATGGGAAAAAAATTTGGAGAATCGAATTATCGAGTCAAACATATAAGGAGATACTACCAACTAAAAAATTGCATTAAAGATATAATATATACATATATATATTTATATAATGAAATGCATCAAAGAACTTCATAAAATCGAACAAAACCCGTGTATGTAGTACATCAAGAAATTAATATGCTTGCTATTACTGAAGTGACCTTGAAATAAGTAGGGGTAGATGCTAACAACAAACAAAGAGATATATTCCCATATGCAGATTAAAAAATGAGACAAAAATTAATTGTAAAATAGTTAATCTAAAGAAGACAATAATTATAACTTTCTCCAAATGATTAGGAGTGATTTTAATAAGGATGTATCTACTAAAAGGCATCTTCACAAATTGTTTAGATATATACTTTCTAGTTTTTTCAAAATTTTTCAAGGAAAATATAACAAAAT